ATTATATACATTACATGAAACATAATTAACATTACTGAACCTTGTATTTTCTTTCTTTTTTTCTTTAACATCCAACCAGAAGTTTCAGGTAAAGGTTTATCTTGATCATCATCTGAGCCTATTTGTTATTTACAATAAATATATTAAAATACATGTAATGATTGCTATAACGAACTCATTATTGTTATTGTTATTGTTATTGTTATTGTTATTGTTATTACCTTCTTTTACTGCAACGTAAAAAGTAAATGAAATATTGCATCCAACCAAATTAAAAAATATATATAGAAATATATAAAAATGACAAACAATAAAAGTACCAAAAACCAAACAATAAATTCCTTCATCTTGAACTTTATAACTGCCTTTTATGGTTGCAGTAGCAGAATTATAATGTTCAATTGGTAAAATTTCTTTCAAACCCGGATCTTTAATTATTTGCAAAGAAACAGATTTTTTTCGACCACGGAATGCATTAACACCACCATTAATAGCAGCACCAGGCGTAGAAGGAGAATGAAGTGGGTTTAAAGTAGAGGTGGAATTGGTCCACTCAGCGCTGTTGTTATTGTCTTTTTGGGAAGAGTCGCTGGTATCTTCAGTGTCATTGGTATCAACAGATGTTATACTTATGTTACTTTTTAGACTGGGTCTTGCTGAATTAGGTATCCCATAACCGCTATTATGACCAATACCACCACTTCCCCCTCCGTCTTCTTTTATTGTAGAAGTCGTAGGTGTGGCTCCGGTAGTATTATTTTTGATGCTATTAGCAAGAGTAGTATTAAGATTAAGATTAGCAACTGTTGCGATGTTGTTGGCTGTAGTGATGTGTGAGTTAGTTGATGTAGAAATATTATGACCTTTTCGTTGATATAAACCAAAAGAGATATTCTTTCTTTTTGTTGTAAACGACCATAAAATAGTTTTGTCCTTTTGAACATTTATGTAATGAATGAAAACATCTCTTGCTGCAACTTCCACTTCTTGCATCTTTTGTTATTATATTTTAATATAATAAATAATAATTTTATTTAAAAAATTTGTTATATAATTGAGAGGCAAGGAAGATTTTTTCTTGATTTGTGATTTTTGATGATACGAAAAACAAATAAATGAAAGTTGTACAAATTTAAATTTTCCTTTCTTTTTTTTCCAAATGAAAATTTCAAACAAAGTTAATTTTAATTATAAACATTTTTACATATTAAATATTGAATAACTAACTAAACAATTAATAAAAAACACCTATAAAAAATAATTCTCTTTATGGAATTTCCAGACTTGGGCAAACACTGTTCAGATCCTAATTGTAAACAATTAGATTACTTACCTGTAAAGTGTCAATATTGTAAAAAAGATTATTGCAACGAACATTTTAAGCCAAATGATCATAATTGTACCAATGCACCAAGTGAAGATGGTGTAAAAGTGCCGGTTTGCCCTGTATGTAATCAACCTATTCCGGTTGCCAAAGGGGAAGATCCTAATATCAGAGTAAGTATTTGGTCATTTTTTTATATGTAAAAAAAAGAAGGAACTTTTGCGACCTCCTATATTTTTTTCTTTCTTCGTCTTCGTCTTCACCTTCATTTTATTCTTCGTTTATCCTTTTAGATGAATATTCATATAGAAAATGACTGTAATAAACCTGTTAAATCCACTTCGAAGCCATTTAATTCATGTTCCTTTGGTAAATGCAAGAATCGTATAGCAGTCAAGATAATGTGTTCAGGGTGTGGAAAAAGTTATTGTATTAAACATCGACTAGAACCTGATCATAAGTGTGAGGAAATACAAAAAGAAAATAAATTGGTAAACGTTAGGAAATTCGATAGAAGCAGCAACAACAACAACAACAACAACAACAACAACAACAACAACAACAATACTAGTGCTATTAATACTATTAGCAATAATATTTCTAATATTATTAACAGCAGTGGTAATAATAGTGGTGGCGGTAGTAATTATACCCATACTAGAAATAAATCACAAAAAAATTCAATAAAAAATTTTTTTGGAAAATTATTTAAATCATCATAGAATCACTAGAATTAATAATCATTATATATCATCTTTACATATTTATACTGGAAAAGTTTTATTTGTTTTATTTAAGTTAGAGTTGGAGGTTATTTGACATTCAATAGTTAGAATTAGACTTTACTTAATCTTTATTATTGATTTATTGAGTTTTTATGTATTTTATTAAACATGTTGTTTATCAACACATTTATTTTATTCTATCTATTAAATAAATTTATATATAGATACATTAATTATTATCAACCAACAAACTATACTAATACTAATTATTATTATATGAATAAAAATTTAAATTTAAACATGTTTATTAAAAATCACATGAAATTAACGATTTCGTCTGTGCCAATAAAATAACGCGTTTATCACGTGAAGCTTTAGAAAATTCGATTAATTATACCAATACATTAGTGCGTGTAACCAATTATTTAATATTCTCTCACAAAAATTTAATTTTCAGCGATAACAACGAATATATTAATCATAACAATAACAAACAATAACAATAACAATAACAACTACGAAGACGACGACAACAACAGCAGCGGCAATAACAATAATAGTAATAAATTAAAAAATTTATTATCAATCTAAAAATCTAAATCTAAATCTAAATTTAAAAATCATCATCATCCGAAATAAAATAAAATGACATCAGAGAATAATAATCGATCAATTTCAATAGTATCTTCCTCCTCTTCTTCTTTACCACAATCATCTTCATTATCGTCATCCTCTTCTTCAGTATCAACGATAACTAATTCAACAACAATAAATACATCATTACCATCTACTGCGACTACTTCGTCTTCTAATGTATTATCATATGATCGACCATTTAGTACTTATAGTTGGAAAGTTGCCAGTTTTCAACAATACATTAAGAATACAAGAAATGGTGATATATTTTATAGTCCTAGATTCTGGATACCACAATTAATAGATAGCAACAATGTAATCAGCACTACTGCTAGCACTACTACTATTAATAATAATAATAACAATGCTAGTACTAGTAATAATGATGATCTTGGATTAAGTGGAAATGGTAATGGTAGTAGTAATATCATTGTCTCTAATAATAATAGTAATAATAACAGTAACAATGATGTTATTACTAACAATACTAATAGCAACAATGAAATTATTACTATTAACAATAGTAGTGGTGGTGGCGGTGGTGATGACGGTGGTGGTGATGATGATGAATTAATGTCAAAAGGTTCATTGTGGAGATTACAAATCCATCCTAATGGATTTAAACCAGGACATCAAAATAATATATCGTTATTTCTACAAGCAATTCAAACACCATATGAACGACAGAATAATATACCAACAAGACATCAACGATACAAATTGGAACTGGAAAAGATAGATTATGAAGGGGATGTGGCAACTGATCCTAAAATCATAGCAGAATATCAAATAATTAATAAAGATTTTGAGTTTGGTAAAGAGAGCTGGGGGTATCCAAAGTTTTGTTCATTTGACAAATTATTTCCAGATGGGAATAGAACGAAAGAAATAGATTTGATTTTCATAGTACATTTCTTTCATAATGAGGAATACAATAAGATTTTGGAAGAGAGTGTCAAAAAGAATTTTTTGATCAGAAATGAATATTACTTCAATAATGAAATATTCTCTGATATTGAGTTTGTGCTAGATTCAGGTAATATTATCAAAGCACATAGAGTCATTGTAGCAGCAGGGTCCAAATATTTTAAAAATATGTTGGAAGGAGGATGGAAAGAACAAAATATGAAATCAATACCAATAAAGAATATTAAAGATGAGACATTCAAAGCAATATTGTACAATTTGTATACAGACAAGATCATTGAAGGATTAGATTTCAAAGTAATGAAGGATATTTATATACAGGCAGATATGATTGGACTGGATAGATTACAGAATTTGGCACAAATGAAGTTAGTAGAGATGATATCAGAAGATAATTGGGATGATATATTAATATTTAGTTGGGAATGTGGTAATAATTATTTAAAATCCATGGTGTTGAACTTTATTGCTAATAATTGGGAAAATATTAAAAAAAATGAAAACACTCAGAAAATATTTAAAACTGGTAATATTGAATACATTGAAGAATTAATGTCTGCTGTCATTAAAAGAAAAGAATTATGAATGAGGCGAGGTGAGAAGATGTGTGTGTGTGTGTGTATGTGTACGAATAAGGTGAATTTAGAACTGGATGGATAGAAAAAATGATCTTTAAAGAAATTTTTATAGAATGAATATATATATATAGTTAAAAGAATCTTACTATTATAATAATAATAATAATATTTATTTATTTATTTATTTAATTCAATTCAATTCAATAATAATAATAAATAAATTATTATTTATATAATAAATAATTTAATCTATAATTACATATACAAAAAATTTTTATTATAGTTACTATTGTATTTTAATATCTTATTATTATTATTTAAATTTTGAAAAAGAAAGCTAAACACATAGTTATGCTACACATTAATTGTTTAATTAAATTATCATTTACTAAATATATAATTTTACTTTTTATTTTTTTATTTTCTAGCTTATTAATTTAATTGTCTTCGCTTAATAACATATTTGGTATCCCATTTTTGATTGGGTATACATGTTGACAGTTTGGACATTTCATTTTTCCTTGTTGAATGTGTGTCTTTATGATTGATTAATGGATTAATTAATGTATTATAGAATTAATAAAGACGCGTTTTTTTAATACATTGTTTTTAGGTCAACGATAATGATTTACCTCTAATAAAACTCTGTGTAAATTTTTCAAGAATTCTTCGTCAAACTCTCCGTTTGAGAGATTTGGTAAAGTTTCAGGTAATATTTTAATATTAACCTTTTATTAAAATAATAAATATTTTGGGAAGATGAAAAAAGAGAAGAAATAATAAATGATTAATTAGATTCGATGACAATCAAGAAGAAACCTAAAAAACTAAAACAACGCGTTTCCTCCATCCAATCCATCCATCCATCCATCCATCCATCCATCCATCCATCCATCCATCCATCCATTCATCAATCAATCAATCAGATAACCATTACTAACCTGTAAAGCAGTTTTTACCAAAGCATCCCAATCTAATTTTGATATCATGTTACGTATAAACTGTGGACTGAAATCTGCCTCTTGAGTTTCTATCTCAACTTCAAAAAGATCTAATGGAAAATTATTTGAATTGCAACCTTTGGCATGACATTGGAGCATATTATGAGTTACTAAACGCATTTTTTTATTATATTGAAAAATATTTAAAGGACTTTCTTGGTGATTTGAAAAAAAAATTTTAAATTTGAGGATGTGAAGGAAAATATTTTGTAATGTGAAAAAGGATTATTTATGAATAAATATATAATAATTATTACAATATTTTTGTTTTCACAATTATTATCTAAAATATTTATGGTCCAATTATTTTAAAGAAATTTTTTTCAAGTTAGTTACCTAGCAGAACCATTCATTATTAAGTAACACAACATATGGCATTATAAAAAAATTTTTTCCATATTATTAAAAGGAAAAATGAATCAAATCTTCTTTTTTAAATCTGCTTTTTCTTCAGGTAAAAAATTTAATTTTCTATAATTTTTTTAATTATTGTTTTCTTCCTTCTTTATATAATCAATTTACTTGCGGCAACCATTATTTAATTAACTAAATTGTTTTTTAGCGCAGCGGCGATTAATACTCCCTGCTGTTTCCTTTTTCCACGCTTCTTCTATTACAAGAACTGGAAAAACATTAGAAGGATCCGTTGGCACTTTTGATAATTTGGTCTTGAAAGCAAAAGAGCCTGTTATTGTAGATTTTTATGCAGAGTATGTTGTAATAATAATAGCAATAATAATAACAATAATATGATGATGTAAAATGAATTATTATTAACTATGATATGTGATTATGATGGCGATGACGATGATAGCTGGTGTAATCCTTGCAAAATTCTTGGACCAGTTCTTGAACGGGAAGTTGCTAATAATTCTAAAGTCACTTTGGTAAAACTAAATGCGGATGAAAACCATTCACTTGCCAGCGAATATGAGGTATCAATCATTTGTTATATTGAAACATAGTAATAATAATAATAATGATGTAATAGTAATAGAATAGTAATATATTATTTAGGTGAGTGCATTACCCACCGTATTGGCTTTCCATAATGGCAAAGTCGTGGATAGTTTTATGGGTGTGCAAAATTCATCATTTATTCAGAATTTTATTTCTAAATTAGTAAACTCAAAGAAAGATTAAAAGATTAAATGAGCCAAACAAAACAAAACAAAACAATAAATATGAATTCACTCGATTCATTTGTTTCTTGTAATAAACTTTAATTAAAAAAATTTATAATTTATCGTGTAACTAACACAAAGTTCTTGGGGTTTAATTAACACGTACGTACCAGTTAGTACAACATTTTACAAATACTTCCCACGTCATAGGATTGCTCCTATTCAACAAATTAGTATTAAGGATTTATTGGTGTTAATTTTTTTTGAATTTAATATCTTTGAATTATTTATTATTAATTATCGCATATACACGAGACCGATCAGTGTTGAAATTTTAGTCACGTTGCACGTTAGTTATTTAATTTATAATAGTTGCACAAGATTGAATCGTATCTATATGGTGAGCCCCCTATTACTATGGCTGTCCTTGTAGATCCTTTAGATTAAGCCTTAAAGTTGCACGAGTTTAATTTAATTGATGGTCACATACATATTAGGTAACCAAATATTTGCCTATTTCTATTAATTTTTAAGAAATTGATAGATCTACAGGCATTAAATACCGACTCCTGGGAGATAGCGACCCCAATTCATGGAATTTATGCATGGGTGGTGATTGGCTAAGTTATAAGTGAGTGCACACCCTCCTCTCCTGCCTGCCTTGTGAAAAGGAGTCGAAATTTTTTCAAAAAATAAAAATTTAACTTTTTTTTACATTTAGATCTTTATAACCTTCCGAGCTTTTTTTTCCTTTAATTAATTCTTTTTTATTTTAAAGGCAATATATATTTCTAATGTTATATTTTAATTTCAGAAAGAACTATTTCAACCGCAACATGATGGATATATATAACCAAGTGACGATATTGCTAATGACCAAATGATGATGATGTTATTATGAGTAATGAATGACATTTTATTGGTGAAGTGGGACATAATAACGTCGAATCAAGCTTGTTGGCCGTTGTTGTAAATATTGATTTACGTATTTCTGCCGAAAAAATCGATGAAGCTTTTGGTCAAGCACTACGTTTATATGATGTAAGGATTAGGTTGAAACTACTATTTAAATTGATGAAAAGTAATGTCAGTAGTGATAGCAATGAATGGGATGAATGGCTAGTCTGCTGATGACGATATTAGTAATCATTGAATTGCATGCAAGTTTATGTAAGAAAATTAGAAGAAAAAATCATGAGAGGAATAAGGCTAGTGATAGAAATGATGATCGACCGAAGAACTAATTATCCTGCTAACAATGATCGTAAATAGTTATGCAAAGACCTGATCATTGCTATCGTAATCTAATTACAATTACAGTTATAAAAATGGTTATAATGGCAGAAATCGATCTCTAGTGCAAAAATACTAGAGATAATATGGGATCAGGTCATTAGAAACAAGACGTGTTTAGAAAATCATGCTTTGAGAAAATCAACAAAAAAGATTTGCATCCAAACAACTTGCTTTTGTATTTACTGTAAAACTTCAAAGAAAATATCTTTAAAAATATTCTTTGCGATGAGAGTGACATTAACTCAAAATTGACTTTTGGGCAACATGCCTTGTTTCCATCGATCAGACCATATTATCAGAAGAAACAATAGTTGATTAATTTTTTTTTGACATAAGGATCAAAGGACATACAAAGGCTGGATTATTAATTTCTTTTATATAATTGGATCAAAGATCTGGATAATTAATTTCCTTTGCTCAAGAGATAGGACTGTTCTTTGCTTAAAGAATCAAAGAAGATCAAAAATCCAATCTTGAGAGGTAAAACTGAAGGTAATAATATAAAAGGTTAAAAATGCGAGATTTATTATGATAATAATAATAAATTATTTTTTTTCTATCTTAACTTCTCGTTGAACAATAATGAATATTTATATGTTATGGATATATCGTTGTGATAAATTATAGCTTTGATTATTATTAAAGAGAGAAAAAAAATAGAGATAACCAGATACTTAAAAAATAGTATTATATCATTGATCAATTAAACCAAGAGGTTTATTAATTACTTTAAAAAAATGAAGGGTTCACTTGGACTGCAATTGCAGGACAATTTTTCAAATTAAATATAAACAATGAAACTTTCTACACAACTATTAATGATACACAATTAAACCGGTCAGTTACGTCGATTAGAAAACAACGGCCATGTTCTGGTCAGCAAATGTTAATGGAGCCCTTAGAAGTATTAGCATAAGAAATCCCAAGAGAAAATGTAGGAAAAATTTGTGTCAAATTGATTCGTGGGGAATAACAACACATTGGCCTGAAATAATTCCCACGTAGAAAATATCATGTTGCTGGGCCCAACTCATTATGGCATATAGATGACAGCCATAAATTAATTCATTTGAAATTTATAATCCATGTATCGATGGATATTTAAAGCTATTTTTAATAAAACTGTTCATTATTCATTATTAAGATTTAAATTTTTATTCACATCATCAATTAATAGAGTGAATTAAAGTTTTGATTGAGCCTTCCTCAGTCAAATTTCTGAATGTAATAAATTGAGTATTTAATTGAAAATTAATGTATATGCTTCTTTTTTTTAATAATTATTATATATATTTGGTTTCTACTATTATCAATCACTAATATATCTCCTAATTAATAAATGTACATGTCATTTGTTTTTTTTGTTTAATAAAATAAAATATACTTTCTTAATAATTAAATAAAACGTATATGTTGTTTCTAACAATCACCTATTTATCAAAAAATGATAGCACATTCATTATTTGATGATTTAATAAAATTTATTTTAAATAATGAACAATTCTTATGTCTACTGTTTTCTATATTTTTTTAAATATAATAGTATTAAAGCAAATATACGATAATTTGCTAAATTACAATTCTTCAAAGACTTCAAATCAATTTGGTTGTATCTCACTTTACTCTCCATTTAGCCCATAACGTGAATGCGGCTTCATTTCATCTACTGAAAGAAGATTTACAATTAAAGTGGAACATTTTAAATCTCTACAATCAAAAAATGATTCACTATCCTGGCTATTAATTAAATTTCTTATAATTAACCCGCGTTTTACTACAATGCACGTTCTAACTAGTTAATAAAATACTTTAACCAGTTCCAACTTCTATCACAATTAATTCATAAAGAATTTCAATAATTGTTTTATAGCAGAATTGCAAATAAAATAACAGAATTTGAGCAGAAATAATATTTTTAAATGCAGTAGAAGCAATCAGATTCTTGGTATAACCACTGGCAGATGTTGATTTTTCTTTCTTCGTCGCAGAAATTCATCATCAATCATGATCTTGAGAAGATAATTCAAATTCGCAATTATATGAGTATAAATTTTTGTCTGAACATCTTATTATCTTTAAAAATACGTATTAATATTTAAAAAAAAAGGTTTGATAGTAATCGATGGATTTATATGAATTTCCTTCCTTTGATGAACAAGTGGTTAGGTATTGTAAGGTTCTACAACATATATAATAGAATATATATATATATTATATACCAGTAATAATACTAATTGAGATTTTGACCCAAAAATTCGGTATTTGTGTATATATGGGCATGGCAGGACCCTGAACAATCACGGGATTTATCAAAGTGTCATCCAATTGTATGTTGGACATGTGACTTAGTCTTTTTCGTTTTATATTTTTAAATCGTTATAAATAATGTCATTTTTTGACCAAGCGAATAAAATTTTTTGGGAACCAACAAACTAATTGACTGGTAATTAAATAATTCTATATTAATAAATTATAACAGTGGAGGGAGGTTTTTGGCATCCTCTTCCCTAATAGTCCAGATGTCATTTAATTCCTCATGGAGCCAGTCTGCAAGCAATAACAACGTAAAAAAGATATCAAGTTAGACAACAAACAATGAAAAACGAGCAAAGCAATCAAAAAAGCAAAATGATCATTTCCACTTTCTCTTCATTTTTTTTTTCCTGATAACACACTTGTTATATATGTGCGATGAAAAAATTTGGAGGCATAAAATTATCCATTTCATCCTTTCTCCTAAAAAGTGTATTGATACAAAAAATTAATTAAATACTTTATTCAAGAATTAGTCACATCACATAATCAGAAGGAATGAATACATAAATAATGCACATCTGATTAATAGACATATTCAATGACACAAGAAAATGGTAGTGGTGAATAAATAATAAAAAATATGATAAGAAAGACAAACGATATACAAATGCTCTCTCAAACAGATAAATAAATAAACGGAACGGAATGAGTGAAAGTAATTTTTTGTATGTTTTTTTACGTGTAATTCGTTCATTGCCTTTTTCTTTGCCAAACTCAATCAATGCATGTTGCAAATATTTAACACGCTCCCACTTATCCTTCTTGTCCTCCTCCAGCTTTTACTTTTCTTTTTTCAACTCGTCTCTTTGCGCTTTGCTCTTTCCGATTCTGAAAAATTTGTAATATCCCCATTGCTATCATATATTGTTAAATCACAACTTGATAATGACGAAGTTAGGCTGCTTTTAAAACCTCCTTGTGAACTCTATTTGCCAATCGAAGAATTGATTACACCAAGAAACAACCACAAAAATCCCCCAAGACCTCAGAATTGTTTCATGTTATATAGAAAAAATTACAATAAATCTTCAGACAGTATAAATGACGTAATAAAGGTTTCAAAAGATGCCGGAAAGGCCTGGAATAACGAATCGGGTGAAGTAAGAAAATACTTTAAAATATTAGAGAATATGAGTCTTGAGAAACATAAATTACATTATACATGATTTGTTTAGGATGAAAATTTCATACCACCCTGCTCACGTATTAATTAGAAATATGTACCACTCTTTCTCTGACTTAATCCTAAATTACCTTACTATTTAAACCTCAGTGTTTTGATACTGATGATTCTTGAATTAGGTGAACTATACAAAAATTACCTTAGAAACTTTAAAAATTATTTTCTCTGTTTTTTTGCATTGGTTAGAGTCTTCCGTAACAAGGTTTGACTGTATTATGGAATTACATAATAATAACAAATTATTATGTGCGGATTTTTTTAGTATCTTTATCATATATTTCAATACATTGTAAATGTTGACAACAAAA